CAATTCCCAGAGACTTGTTTTTTGCCAATGCCTTCAATGTACCTTGAATACAGGCAAAAATTTCCCCAATACAATGATGACACCCAGCTCCAAATGACACACAGGTAAATGTCTCTCCTGGAGCTCGGTTTTCCCAGTAGGATGTAGAAAATTGTCTCTGTAACTATGTTTTGCCAATTGAGTTAGCTGCTATAATTTTTTTTTTTTTAAATGTGGCCCCAAGTCCCCAAGCCTAGTGACTTATTACCTCTAGGTATTTGGAAATGGATAGGCTATTTCCTTAACTTTGCCCCTGATTGCTTTACTATATTTACAGCACATACAAATACATAGTTTAGATAACCTCTACTGAAACTATATATGGTTTTTAGTATAGTCTGTTTGTATAGCCATACCTCTTCAGCTTGCCTGTCTGCATATGTATCCAAAAGTACATTATTACTTGTTATTACCAAAATTTCATGATTCTGTATGTGATAGTATTTACCTGTGCTGTCTTGTGCACCTCTGTATCTTTGTCTGAGAGATATTGTTATCATTCTGTTATTGTTTACTTTCTTTAACTTCACTCAAATTAATATATGTATATTTGCTTCTCTTTCTCACATCTCTGGTAAAATCAAAATATGTATATTTTTGTGTGTAAATCTTTCATTAAAAGTCTAGCAGTTAACTTTTATTTATAAAAAAACATTATTCTAGATAACAATTGCTGTATAAAACAAACTTTGACTATTTTAAAGCTTTTCTAAGTAAGAGACAGAATCCAAGTTTTAAAAATTGAAATCCAGGGGCTGAGATTTTATTTATGTGATATCTGAGATTATGTCTTTTTATGTCTCCTGTATATGTCTTAGATTGATCTTTGACCGCTTTGTTGAACCTCCCTTTCTTTCTACAATGAACATCATAAAAGAAAACCTTTTCCATTAATTAGTCCTATAAGATTAAAACTGGTCTCCATTTCTCAGATCCCCAACATACAATCATGGTATTTCACCCTTATACCAATTCTTTCTCTCCTAGGTGTCCTTGAAACTACTTAGGAAAGATATCTCAGCCTCTGAGCTGAAATCTTCCAGTCATGGATTTTGTCTCTAAAAGGCTTTGATGTGAGGTTCTTTTCAGTGAAAGAGGAATCATATTATTCTAATTCCTGTTGATATGCAAGCAGGTAACTTCTAGTACTTTTCATAATAATAAACACTACTGGATGAAGATAATCAATAACGATGTAAGCCTAATCTCTTGGCACTCTTTCAGGGGTTAAAATATTCCTTAGCTATAGAATAAAATGTTTTTTGGTTTTTTTTCTACTATATTATTAAATTAATTGAGTGAGTGTAATCTATAAATATATAGCTACTAAATTCAAAATCTAGGTTCATTTCAAGTTTGTATAATATGAAAATTAATTGAATTAGCATTGAAAATTCTGATTATTTTGTTTAACATACAATTAATAGAAGAAAACACCAGTGGAAAGAAAAGACAGTTTGGAGCATAAATATACACATGTACAAAAATAGACAAATTAAGCTAGGATTTTGTTATAGAAAAAGTCATTTTGCAAATTTGTACACAATTCACTGCATTAGAGGTAGAGAAACAATTTTTTGTATTCAATGATTAGAATTCTAAACATGTCTAATAATTTCTGAGTTGTTGCTAAGCCATAGAGTCAGTTCAAACTCATAGTGACCCCATATAGGATATCTGAGGAGCATCTGGTGAATTTGAAATGCCAACATTACAGCTCAAACTGACCTTGCGGTCCAGCTCAATATCCTGTAAAACCACAACAGGACTCCAAGAAGTAGAATTATAAAACTGTATAATAGTTTTTGAGTGGTGGTGGTGGTATTGAGCCATGGAGTCAGTTCCTATTCATAGTGACCCCTCATAGAGAATCCGAGGCTGTAATTCTTTATGGGAGCAGAAAGCCTCATCTTTCTCCTGTGTAACAGCTGGTAGTTTTGAACTGCTGACCTTGAGGTTCGCAGCCTGACTAGTAACCACTACGTTACCAGAGTAATTAGTCAAAATCAAAGCATATTTACTTTGTTTCTTAAAGGAACTGATTTTTGGTAACTTTGCATATGCATATTTAAAACTCCACTTTAGTTGCCATAAATAAATTATGACAATGTTTTGTATTTATCTATAGAAAATTGATATAAACATTTAAAATCAAAGCTACATTTTCAAATTGTAATTTTATGAGAGCTGTTTTTTTTTTTTAAATTGTTCTGTTAAAATTTTCTGTATAATGGAATAAATAAGATGTAATTACTGAATTTCTCCAGTGATAATATCAGCAATAAATAGAGATAGTAATGGACTCCTGGAATGGTTCTGTAGGATCAACACTCTACTGTGAACCATTAAGTTGGCAGTGTAAATCCACCAGTTGCTCCTCAAAATCTCTATACAAGGTGTCTCCGGGAGTCAGAACTGACTTACTGACACTTAACACCATTTGTCAAATTATTAGAGAGAAGATAAATTGGGATAGTCTTTTTAAATATTTTGGCCCTTCTCTCCTAAGCAAAAAAAAAAAAATTAATTAAGAAAACATTTAACAAAAAAAAAAAAAAAAAAATTAATTAAGAATCCTTTAATTTTATAAATCTTCTCATATAAAATGCAAATTTATTTACACTTACTAATATGTGCTGACATGAAGAAAAATGTGAATTTTAAATAACTGTCTTAATTATAAGGTGGTGCTTTATTCATAACAAAAAAATATGCATTGCTAAGAATTTCAGCCCTGAATTACTTTTATGTTTAGGTGAATTGCAATGTGATAAGCAAAATACAGTATTTCTATTAAAGATGCTAAGAGTAGTATTTCAACTGACCACCAAGATAAGTAATCTTTGGAGTTCTGGCATGGCTCTGGACCTCAAGGTTGATATGAGACAGAAGGTTGGTGGTTCAAACTCACCAGCTGCTCCTCATAAATCCTATATGGGGTAGCTATGAGTCAAATCCCACTCAATAGCACTTACCAAGTTATGTTCACAGACCAAATTGTATCACCAGAATTTCATTCCTAGCATTGTCTATGGCAAAGAGTGCCAAACACATTGGGAGTATCTGATGCAAAACAAGGTAGACCATATTCCCAGTAGCATCAAGCTCAGTTACAGTTTTCTAAGCTAAGCAATAGTTGACACCGTTACATATGATGGATGCAAAATATATGAAACCAATGTAAGATGGAGAAGAAAGAGATTAATTAAATCTCTGAACATAAAAGCAGAAGTGCAAGCATCAGACATGAAAAAAATGCCAGGAACTGGGACTGTAAGTATTGAATACTGGTCAAGGTCAAGGTTAAAGTAAGATTATATACATTTGTTTTTAATTTTGGATTTTTTAGTCAGAATTTATGTTCTTCCTGTGGCTTTAAGGAACACATTTTCCTTTAGATTAGGATATTGGTAGTATTTTGTGTAATGGCTGCAAAATATTATACAGATACTGACTATAGTAAGCAAAGCATCTGGGAAGGAAACATCTTGATACAATAAAATATAAATTACATGTTATAAATGGCTAATGTTTAGTTAAAAAACAAAAAAACAAAACAACACTTCACATACAATTAACTCTGAATGAGACAATGGTCTCTTATTCTCAGTCACCAATGATTATACGTACATGCTACACACATAACAAACTTTGTGTTTTATAAGAATGCTATCCTAATGAGAATCATAGTTTAACAGTAGTAAGTGATTCTATCATATTGTTATTTGACGTGTACACAGGCTTGCCTACAATTGTCCAAAAAATTGTGCAATTTGGGGAAATCAGGCAGACCACTTCAAAAGAACCATATTTCAGTCCTATATTTGCCATTTATTGACATGGGCAACAATGTGGGGTAAATGGCCAATACCTGTCTTAGTATCCTGAGTTCATAAATGAGAATTATCACAGCATCCTATTGCCTTCTTGTGCATATTAAAATTAATGATGTGCATCAACTTTGACATCATCAGCATCATCTTTTGCCAATAACTTTTCATTAATAGCATACATGAAAGACTATTAACTAGTTAAGTCCTCAGAGCACTACTCAGACAAAATTGTGAAATTTAGATACAAAGGGATTAAGTAACCATTCATATAACTATAGTCAATAAGTTGCAATGAGCTTATGCACACTCAGGAATTCTCAAAACAGAAGCATTGACTTTAGCCATTATATTTATCTTTGCCTGAAATACAGTAAATACTAAGTAAATGTTATCTATCATTTCAGTTTCATTTGCTCATTCAGTAACTGTTGAAATACCCTGAATTCTTACCTGGGACAAATACTGTGTGAACATTTTGTCTCTTTCTCTTGTTATAATCAAAATGTCATTATTTGCACTACAGAAAACACAAATACTACTATTAGCACCATCTCATTTTGGAGTTATATATTATATTATATATTATATTATATATAATATTATATATTATATAATATATATAAACAATGGACCTCTAGGCTGGTTTGAACCACAAGGTCGTTGGTTCAAACTCAACAGC